CTGCTGCTTCAGTTTCATCAGTGTGAATGGGACCGATAATGCTGACACTTTATAGTATTCTCACTGTGACAGTCACATGAGAAAATTTGTTAAAGTGGCTTATGATGAGTTTCAGTTGCCTTTGTTGCTCTCTCTCCCAACATTTAATGACCTCTTGGCAAAGACAGGGAAGCTGTGATGTAGCATTTGAAGCCCGGGCATGGCGGGACCAGCTAGAGCTGATGATTAAATTTTCAGTGTGAGCGTTCATCACCTCGAAAACTGGGGCTGCGCTTGTTGTTTTGTTGATTGTCAAGACTTAAGAAAGCGATGGAGAAAGAGTCGATTAAGGCAGATTAAGTTTTGTGCCTCCCCCCAAGTTGGTTGTCAAACATTTACCAACACACCCCTCATTTCAACTGAATAGTGTCAGAAAGGCTATTTGGGGTTATTATTTGAACTCAGGATTTTTTTTAAGGAAATGGGGGTTAAGTGACTTGCCCAGGGTCACACAGCTAGTGACAAGTGTTTTAGTCTGAGGCCAGATTTAAACTCAGGTCCTCCTGACTTCTAGGCCAGTGCTCTATCCACTGTGCCACGTAGCTGCCCCTTGGGGTCATTGGTTGACCGGGATGACTGGGCTACTGTGAGGTAATACCCAGATATAAAACTAGTGTCATGAAGGTGTTGGTTGAATTTCTAAATGACAAATTTGGATTTTTTTTCCCCTCCCAGTAAATGAGAGCAAGCCATGCCCTAGCAGACAAAGACTAGGATTCCTATCAGGAAGAACAGGGTTCAGATCTTGCCCCCGGTGTGTGACCCTGGATGCTGGGATCCAGATTACTTCCCCTCCCAGCCCCTCAGGCAGGTACAGGTTGCGGACCAGGCGTCCAGCTGCAGTGGCAGAAGTTACCTTATGAGCCTTTTCTAAGCCCTCCTTTCCAATGCCGATCAGCACGTTTGCCTCGGTTAGTTGGAGAAGCCTGGGAAGTTGTACGATTCACCCAGGGCCCCGTGTGTGTCAGAGGCAAGCCTTGGGTCAACATCATGTTGCCTGTCTTCTGCCTTTTCATCAGGAGTTTCCTGTGCCAAGAAAACCCCAGGTCCCTCCCCCCACATTAGAGTATTTAAACATTCTTAACAATCTGTTCAGTCCCAAAGCACCTCCTAATAACCCTGGACAAATCTGAGCCCAACAGCATTTCCTGTTTCCCAGCACTCTTGGTGGAAATTGAGAGAGAGAGAGAGGGTAGGGGGAGTCAAAGCCAGCCCTTGATCGGGCTGTTTTCAGATGGAAATATACGTCATGTTGAAGAATGAAAAGGATGTGAATCTGAGCATGTGATTAATTTGGGTCTTGTTAAATTTTTAAAGAATCAGCATTTAAAATACACGAAATCCAAAAAGAGGGTGATAGAGTAGAAAGCAAAATCACTCAAGCAAATGAGCAATTGGGATTCCTTCAGCACTGGAATCTGTTAATTTTTTTTTTCCCATTGGCTGAAAATATTCTCAAGTTCTTATAGTACAATATTTATTATATTGCGTAAAGTGAGTGCGTAGATCCATCTTTCAGCGCTGCCATGAAATGTATTAAATACCAAATGGAGTGTCGTGGTTATGCGGGGAAAGCTCTTCATCTTTTAGGTTTGGGGGGAGCCTCATCCCCATTATCACAATGGCGATTTCCACCTTCAGACTGTCCCTGTTCTTCCTGAGCCCCTGGGCTGTTTTGTTCTCTGTTTCTAAGTTTCCCGATTTTCAAGAAACTTTCTGATCATCAGAAATAGCGATGCCTCGAAGCAGTGGAGGAAGTTAATAATGATGATGAAGATGATGATAATGGTGATGGTAGTAGTAGTGGTGGTGGTAGTGGTAGTGGTAGCAGCAGCAGCAGCAGCAGCAGTAGCAGCAGTAGCAGCAGCAGCAGCAGCAGCAGCAGCAGCAGCAGCAGTAGTAGAAGATACTTGCAAAGCCCCCTGCGGTTCGCAAGGAAGACCTAGCAAACCTTAAAGCGCTTTGTAAATATCAGCTGCTGCTGTTGTCCAGTCCGTCCATTTACCCTTGTTTGATGTCTTCAGTTTTCCTCGAAATCAGTTGTTATCTGATCCAGGTTGCCGAGCACTGTGCGGTAGCTTTAGAAGTGCCCGAGCTCTCTGTGTATGAACAGTGAAGATTAACTAAGCAGAGACACAGACAATGAGCACTTTTTGAAATACTTGAAATACGTGTTAATTATATTAAACTATCCGCTTGATTTATTATTTCCTCTTATTTGTACATGGCTAACATTCATCCCCAGAAAAGCATAAAAACTTTTTTTTTTGCTGCACACCAAGATATTATTCTTGTTAAAGCTACCAATTGTGTAATTAGCAGCAGGGCTATATTTTTGCTTCATTTATTATAGTCTGCAGGCATAATGAGAATACACATATGTACACATATGTATATATGTTCTTTCAGAGCACATGACCTACTTATAGATATCATATTTTTTGCATGAAAAGAGACATGGATTTAAGTCTTGGCTTCAAAGTTTACTGGGATAACCCTGGGTTAGCATTGACTTATTTCTTTAATTTTCTTATCCTCATAGGACTGTGATGAGGAAAATGCTTAGAAAATCAAAGAGCACCATATAAATATGAGTTGTTATGTAATATCTTGAACATAACTGACATTCAGTTTATTGAATGAGTGAATTAACATAACTTTAGTCATATCATTTGTACACATCAACTTTCTTTTGTATGATGACATAATTCATTATATATATGTTCTATGTAATTAATATAATCATGTAATATGACTTAATGGTTGCAATTATAGAAATGCCTTTGCCACAGTTAGCTTTTTGGAGACCACGTGGATAGTGAGCGGAGTTTCAGACGATCCCAGATTTAGAGCTGGAAACAGCTTTAAAGTCCAGACCCTTTATTTTACAGATGAGTAAACTGAGGCCCAGAGAGGCAAAGTAATTTGTCCCAAGGCACGCAAATAGTAAGTGGCAGAACAGGAGTGTGAACGTAGGCACTAGCAGGTGTTTAATAAATGCCTGTTGACTAACGGGTGGTCTCTGACTTGAAATCTCCTTCTCTCTCCCCTGTGCCATACTGAATTATCTCTCTGACCAGGGCGTCCATGATCACTTTGAGGAGTCCCGTAATCCTCTTGATGACATTGTATGGCATGGACACTTTTAGGGGCAGCTTAAGGTTCACCGTCCCATGATGGTGAGCATGCTTCTGCTGGCACCTCACTGATTGGGTTTCAGACCCTGGGGCTGCCTCCAAGATGATGGGCTGACTGAGGGTGAGGAAGACAGACTTTTGGCAAAGGAACCAACCACCCCTCTCTTTGGTCTTTGTGGCCTTACAAGTCAATGGACCAGCTTGCACTCTTTCACTCTTGGACATTGAAAAGCAGATTGGAGAGGAGCAGAGTGGGCCCGTACATGTTGGGGGGTGAGCAGAGGGTTTAGATAGGCCTGGGTCCACATGAAATTTCCTTCTCTTCAAAGCACTCAGTGGTGATTGTGGCAGAAGCAAATGGCAAAGCCTGGTGTGTGTGATCATTTCTCTGTTTGTAGAGAGTGTTTGAGAACCCCATCTATCTCCTGGATAGAATGGCCTGGGCAGCGGAATCCTGGAATCTGGGTTTCAGGTCAGAGAAGGGACATTTCTTGAGGAGCAGAAGCTCTGGAAGTCCTCTCGTAGGGAAGCCCAAGTTGGGGAGTCTCCAAGGATTTGTCCTCCATCTTTTAACAAAAAGAGGTGTCATAGAGAGCCTCTTGTTACTAGATGTAAAATATAGTATTAAATGGCTTATTTGTTTCGTGTTCCTAGACTCTAGAAAATGCAAAGGGCACTGATTTATCATCAGAGGACCGATGTTGGAACCCCAGTTCTGCTGCTTCTCTCACATGTGACCTTGGGCAGATGATTTCTGAGGTCCTATCTTCCAGCCTGAGGTCCTATGAAAGGGCCTAATAAATGATATCTGTGGGTATCCTGCCTATAACTAAAAGGCAAAACATGAAGTTCAGATATTTCACATTATTTTGTGCAGTGTTGACTGTAGTGAAATTCCAATGAATTTTTAAAAAGCAAATTACCCATCCTATTGGGGTTTATTTAGTGACATTTCATCAGTTTTGGGCCTATTTCACTGTGTAACGTTGTGGAAAGAACCCTGAACCAGGATGCCTAGGTCTGGGTCCCAGGTCCAAGGCTGCTTCTGACTCAGTGTGTGAGACCTTGAGTTGAGTCATTGATCTTTCGCAGCCTCAATTTCTACATCTATATAACGAATATAATAATGACATAGTTTATTTACATAAAACTGTGTGGTTAGAATCAAAAGAGGAATTATATGAATTTCAAAATTAAAGAGTGATCAAATGCTAGGAATTGATTTATTAATAATAATAATAATAATAATAATAATAATAATAATATGACTCTTATCTTCCCTAATAAAATGCAGATCATTTTCATGCAGTGTTAAAAATCACACACACACATATAATTAACATGACCTTTTTGTTGTTGTTGAAGAAAGTTTGGGATGATTCTAAAGCCCTTGTCTCTGAGGCAGTATATTTCGTAGCAGTATTCTAGTTAATTTCCTTGGTTTTAATATTTCCTATTGCTTTCATATTATATACCTTGACTTAATCACTTTTATCATCTGATGCAAATGACTGCATTCATTTTAGATTTCTTGTATTTATGGGCAAACAATTACAGATGATATGAAAAACTAAAACTTTGCTGCTATGTTCTAAGTTACATTAGCAAGGAAAATTTTCTTTTTTTTTCCAGTGAAATCCATTAATTAGGGCTGAGGTAGGTGTGAAAGATAAGCAGGTAGCACATTTTGACAAAGTGAGAAAAAAAAAACAACCTGCTTATTGTTGTGAACTCTACTCATTATCGGTCCAAATGATAAGAGTTAAGGAACAGCACTATCGTCATGAAGAAATTAATGGCACTTTTTTTCCCCATGAATTGTAGCTGACTTTGGCCTGGCAAAACAGAAGCAAGAAAACAGCAAACTCACATCGGTTGTTGGAACAATTCTCTACTCCTGGTAAGACAGATGAAAAATGTATGATTCTTGAGTTCTCTGTGTACTGGTTTGAATTTTCATTTATTTTCTTCATTTGAAATAGTTGTTCCAGAGGGATCCTTATTGTATCACTTGTTCCCGCAGGAAGCCGCTGGCAAAGTCTCCTCCACGTTCTCAAAAGTGCTGCTTGCCAATTTCCTTTCGTTTTTTTTTTTGGGGGGGTGACGATGGTGCTGGGTGGGGAGCGGTGCACCGTTTGTAGCACGATCACATGTAGGGCATTGCTACCCCAGCGGGTGTGTTCCACAGTGCTGATAGATACACAGTGGGATGGTAATTACATTGATCCCGAGAATCCAAATAGAGGTATAGACAGCTTTGTCCAGACGTAGCATCCCTTTGGGAGGGACTTTTTAAAAAGACAGTTCTTAATTGGAAGGGCCCAGCCAGCCTCAGACTGCACGGCTTAGATGGGTGGCCTCGGGGAAAGGAGAACAGAATGTCCCAACCTGCTTAGCTGCTTCTTTCTGTATTTTGTATAAACCAAGCGGATTCTGATCGAGTCGTTTCAAACCCCGTCGTTCAGCGTGACTCTCCATAGCCCACAAAACAAAGGCCAATTCCTTGATTTCATAATCAAGGCCCTCTCTGGCCCCCACCTCTACTTTGAGCTTCATCTCCCATTTCACAGACCATGGGCTCCAGCCATATTGGACCACCTTCCGTCTCCTGGACACTCTCTGGGCTTTCTCACTATCTACGTTTTTTCTTCAGGACGATAATTCTGGATTTAATTCCCTTTTTCCTCATTCGTTGGTCCTTTCTTCCAGACTCAGAGACCAAGTGCCACATCTTCCATGAAGCCTTCCTTGGTTTCCCCCAGCCAGAAGTAATCTCTCCTTCCCCTGTAAACTGGGGACTTTCATTTCTGCCCTTCCTGGGGCCCTGAGTCCCTCCCACATTGTACTCCCACTTAGGACAGCCCTCATGGGCATTCTAATTATCTCTGCCCACGGCTTGTTCTTACGTAGCACTAGGTCATAAAGTATTTCACAGCCTTCAGTGTCATGGCGTTCACCTTCCAGTCCCTCACAGCCTCTGGTAAGTGATAGTTATTGACAGAATTACTTGTATTAGATGAGTTAGTCATCACAAGATGTGTAGACAAGCTCTGGCACCTTAAAAAACAAGCCCAGTCCCCAGCCTTCCTGATGAGGGAAGTGGGACCAAAAGAGCCCCTTTTTTCTTTGTTTCTTTTAATTTTCTATCGGTTGAAGTTGGTCTCTGTGGCTGACATTTGTCTAGCTTTGTGGGACTCTTCGTCTGGGGGCTATCCAAGAGGCACAGGGAACGCATTGGGGGCTCCACTAGCAGTGTGGTGACCATTTATCTTCTTGGTCTTCTCACGGATTTTCTGTCTCCCTGGCCGGGGTAAGACCGTAAGCCCTCCACGTCCTTCATCCTCTGTGATGGCTCCTTCTTTCAGAAATCTCCATAGGAGACACACCCATTTCAGTGGAGGTCTTCCTTTGGTTCTCGTAGTTATTAGTGGAGACTGATGCAGCAGTCGGCCCCCAGCCCACCCCCTGTTCTGGACGCGGGGGTCTTTAATGATCTCTTTGACGCCATTTCTTCAGTAACGGGTCAAAGCCTTTTACCCAGGATGCATCTTTCCACTGTCCCTTACGTTACCTGCAGGTTTGATTCTTTGGAGATCATGGTCCATGATGTGCGACGAGGTAGCCAAGCTGATAGAACAGACACTATGTATATATAATCGTGTGTGTATGTGTATATGTTATATATATTCTTATGTACATAAGAATATATATGCATATATGTTATGTATCAACACCATCATTGTGTATATATTCCTACATATATATGTATTTATATCCTATACATGTGTGTTTATTCCTATATATGTATGTGTAGTCCCATGTAAGTATGTATATGTTTCCTGTATATGTGTATACCCACATGCACACACAAAAGAGAGTATATATACACAGTGTGTGTTTGTGTGTGTCTGTGAGTATATGTGTGTTTGTGTGTGTGTGTGTGTGTGTGTGTGTGTGTGTGTATAATGATAGTGTAGATACATGGTATATATTTCTCTATTCACATCTGTACACGTATATAAATAACTATATCTTTATCTATACACAGACATATACCCATGTATTTGTAAATAGGGAGCAGGTTGGGATTATTGACGAGGATGTGTGGTTTTCCATTCGGGGCTTGCTTACTGTCCTTTGGCAGAAGGGAAAGTGATAGACATATAGTCAGAGACAGAGAGACGGAGAGAAACAGCCAGAGACAGGGATCTTGATTAATTCCACAGGTCTGCCCATCTAGCTGCATGTCATAATCTGGGCCATATTAGTTTTTTCATCCACTTTGTTTTCTCACTGTGGATGCTTAGGCCAATCTCCTTCAAACGACTGGATTTCATTGAGGAGGCTTTTCTATTTCAGGATTTAGTACAACTAATGGCGTGTGTTCTGTGAAAAGAACTGTTGTCATCAGTATGGAATGCTTCTGTTTGGATTCCACACAGGGCGCCTCCCAAGACACCTGCTTTCTCTCTTTTATGCTTCATTTAATTTTTTACTCAGAAGACTGTTGAACAGTATTGTCTCAGAGGTCACATCTGTCACGAAATTGTGTATGTTGTAACATACAGCTGGCTGTACACTTGCTTGAGGACAGCTTCTAAGACAGTATTGGAATCTACTGAAGCAAATATTTTTGTGAACTCAGTAAACACCAGACATTGCAGTCACACTCGGTTGTATGACTTTGAAGTTGTCATCTGCCTTAGAAAATAGTTTAGAAAAACTTGCCTCTGCCGGGCTCAGACTTTTATCTAACACTTCCCCAGTACCTGCATAGACCATTTTCATACATTTTTAACAAAGATGGGAAAATAGGCATATGGATTGGTAATTACTGGAATCTTTTCGCTTGCCGCTTTCAAAAGCTATTCATGATCTTTTCCATTCTTTTGGATTCTTCCTCTCTTTGAAGATAGCTTCAAAGTTGATCCTTGAATGCCTTGAAAATTGTGTCCCTTCTCTCCTGAATTTGTTCGGTATTTTATTCATTGTCCAGTCTAGCCACCCTTCCAAGTACTTCATTGTTGTTATCACTCTGTCACAAAGTACATTGCATCGGAGAATAGGATATTGTGACTTCATTATTACCACTTAACGAGAAAAAAATGTAGAAATGCTGGCAGTCTCTTCTGTTTCATGTCTATTTGTTATTCTTCAGGTTTCATCTATAACTGCTTTTTTGGGGTAGTCTAATTTAGTTGGATTTCATGTCAAGCTCTCAATTATTATTATTTTACCATTTTGTGAAACAGTGCTGATTGTAATCTTCCATCTTTCTCTTTCATGTTTTTTAAATAAGTTTATTCTCTATGGTGTTGTTACTTTTAGCTGCTCTCACTATCTTCTTGCCAAGGAGATTTGGTATTTGCTGACTCAGGTGGTTTCTGGTCTCTTTTGCCCTTCTCATGGTGGCAAATGCTTTATTTCCCTTAAAGTTCTATTTTAAAAAAGCATAATAATCAGATTCAGTGTCTTTGACTGTATTCATTTCCCATTTTTCAAAATCAGTAGCTTCAATAGTAGGTCAGTTAGGAGTTAGTATAATCACATACAATGTCTTTATGCTTTCTTTTAATTTCGCATTGATTTTAACATTTGCTCAGTCATTTGGTGGCAACCCACTGTTTCTTCTAGATATGTTTCTTTTTGTGTGAAATGTGCTTCCGTGCTAACTATGGTTTCTGACTCTTCTTGAAGAAAATATTAATGATAAACAAGTTGGAGTCCTCCGAGTAGTAAATAGGCCTTTGGGCCATGTTCACCCCGTTATCCTGTACTGTATTTTCTCCCTCATGCCCACCTTCACATTGAGTAGCCCAGTAGCCAAGTATATATACTGACTCAGTTTAGACGATCTTCTCAGGGTCTTCATGGAATTTATTGACTTCTTAATTAGCATGGAATCATAGAATTGCAGAGCTGGACAGCACCTCAAAGGCCATTGACTCTAAGCCTTACGCAAGAAGCAAATCCCGTCTATGAAATCCTCCCAAGTGGTCACTCAGCTGCCCCTTGAAAGTCTCTAGTGATGAGGAGGTCACCACTTAGTTGTTTACATCTTAAAGCTCTCAGGAAATATGAATTGTTACTAGTGGTGTTATTGTCATTCTTCCATGAGGCAGCCAATTACCTTTTAAAGCCTTAATTATGGGGGAGTTTTCCCTTGGATTGAGCCAAAATCAGCCACCCATGGGTCCCATTTCTTCTTCCAGCAAATAAAACAAGTCCAATGTTTTCTCATATGGTCATTCTTCAGCTCCTTGAAGAGAGTTACTGAATTCAGCTGCCCCTTCAGCTTCCAGCCCCGGTTATTTCAACCAGTCTTCTTATGGCAGAGTTTCATCTTTCACCAGCATCCTCGATATGCCATCCTGCACAGTGAGCCATGTGAGATTCGGTTAGGGCAGAGAACTGATGTGCTGCCACCTTGTGGCTATGAAGACCATAGTCCTATTCTCATGCATACGACACTGTCGACTGATGTAGTTCTGGTAGTTTAAAAAATATGATAGTGTTCGCAGAATAAATGTTTTCTAGCCAAGTCTTACTTTCCCTATATTTCTACAGCTTAAGAAAACCTTAATTTCAGGACTTCTTGATTTTATCTCTGTGGAGTTTCATCTCTTTAAGTCTGGTCAACCATGATAGCCTTTTGGGGGCCAGCTCTGTCACCCACTATATTAGGTATACTTCCCACCGTCACTGTCAATTTGATAAATGTTACCTATGCCTTTATCCAGGTCATTGGTGCTGAAGATGGTGTGCCATAGCCGTCCACCAGAGAGCTCGCTCCCTCCTAATTGATTTTTGGAACTTTGATAGGCACATGATTTGATCAGTTTGGGTGCTACCCCCAGCAATACAGGCTGAAAATTCTAGTCCTTCTCCCAACCAGGTGCC